TGTCCACTCTGCCTGTAAAAAAGAAAAGAAAAGATACAGAGTTAAAGGGAGAAACAGAGAGAGAGATGTTCCATCCTCTGGTTCATTCTCCACATGGCCACAATAGCCAGGGCTGGGCCAGGCAGAAGCCAGGAGCCAGAAACTTCATCTGTGTCTCCCAGGTAGTGCCAGGAACTCAAGAATGTGAGCATCACCCACTCTTCCCAAGCACATTTGCAGGCAGCGGGGGCTGCAGTGGAGCCGCCAGGACTTGAACACTACTCCGCTATGGGTCATGGATGTCGCAAGCGGCAGCTCTACCCACTGAGCCACAACACCATCCCTACGCCTCCTTTCAGTCCCCCCCCCCTAGCTTCTCCTAATATTAACATCTTGCATTAAGGCCAGTGCCGCGGTTCACTAGGCTAATCCTCCGCCTTGCGGTGCCGGCACAGCCAGTTCTAGTCCCAGTCAGGGCGCCGGATTCTGTCCCGGTTGCTCCTCTTCCAGGCCAGCTCTCTGCTGTGGCCAGGGAGTACAGTGGAGGATGGCCCAAGTACTTGGGCCCTGCACCCCATGAGAGACCAGGATAAGTACCTGGCTCATGCCATCAGATCAGCGCGGTGTGCCGGCCGCAGCGCGCCGGCTGCGGCGGCCATTGGAGGGTGAACCAATGGCAAAGGAAGACCTTTCTCTCTGTCTCTCTCACTGTCCACTCTGCCTGTCAAAAAAAAAAAAAAATCTTGCATTAGTATATTTCCATCATTTTTATTCTACAATACCTAAATAATTGGAGACAGCTGTTGTGTTGGCAAATAAAAAAATAAGTATTTTGGTGATCTTATGCGGTCAGATCTATTAGTTACTGAGAGAAGTATTTTTGTACCATTTACACCCAGAATAAAGCTATTTTATGTGGTGGGAATTCTGTTTAAGTAGCTGTTCAGCTAGTTGGGGGGCATAACGTGCAATCGAACATGGTGAAGAAAGTGCTAAACTTGTAACACTAGATCAGTGAGTACAGTATTCTTCTTGAAGCTTCCCTCAGCTGCTGACAGCACGACAGAATTCTGGGTTGGATGAGGAAATCTAAAGAGGCCTTTCCGCTTCAGAATGCCATGAATTGATCAATCCCTTGTTTCCCAAATGAGCGGGAAAGCTATTTCAAGTGGCCCACAATTTGTATCTATTTATATAGTTCCATTTTTATTTTATGGCTTATTTAAAAACCTACCACCTCAAACTCAGATTTCACAATGGTCATCGCTTAAGGTGAAACTCAATTTTTAAAACTAATCAATTTATGTCAAATTAAAGAAACTGTTAAGTATAAGTAACATGGATATGACAGAAAGGTCAGAAAGGGTAATTGAAAAAAGTTTAGGAAACACTGGATTAATTAATGTATTAATACATTCAAGAAGTAGTGATAAACAGGGCTATATCCCATAGCACTTTATAGTCTGTAAATAATCTGGCTCAACTAATGACTAAATTAAAATTTACACATGGAAGACAGTGAAATAAGAAACAATTAAAGCAGAGAAATTTCCAAAAGCTTCATAACACAGAGCAATCATTAAATCTGATTCCAGAAGCTGGTGTTGTGCTGTAAAGGGCCTGCAACACTGGCAGCCCACACAGGCACTGGTTCAAGTCCCATTTGCTCCACTTCCAATCCAACTCTCTGCTAACGGCCTGAGAAAAGCAGCGGAAGATGGCCGAAGTGTTTGGGTCCCTGGTACCCACAAGGGAGACCCAGATGAAGCTCCTGATTCCTGTCTTCTGCCTGGCCCAGCCCTGGCTGTGGTGGTCATCTGGGGGAATGAACCAACAAATGGAAGATCTCTCTCTTTCTCTCTCTCCAAAAGATGGAAGATATCTCCCCCTGCCCTCTGTCACTAACTTTCTAAATAAATAAATCTTTTTTTTTAATCTGATTTCAAAATACCATCACCAGGCCGGCACCATGGCTCAATAGCTAATCCTCCGCCTTGCGGTGCCAGCACACCCGGTTCTAGTCCCGGTTGGGGCACCGGATTCTGTCCCGGTTGCCCCTCTTCCAGGCCAGCTCTCTGCTGTGGCCAGGGAGTGCAGTGGAGGATGGCCCACGTCCTTGGGCCCTGCACCCCATGGGAGACCAGGAGAAGCACCTGACTCCTGCCATCAGATCAGCGCGGTGCGCTGGCAACAGCGCACTGGCTGCGGCGGCCATTGGAGGGTGAACCAACGGCAAAAGGAAGACCTTTCTCTCTGTTTCTCTCTCTCTCACTGTCCACTCTGCCTGTCAAAAAAAAAAAAATACCATCACCATTTCTGGAAATTAGAGTCTACAGAGTTAATCTGTGAATAAAGAGGAAGGCTGAAACAATCCCTCTTGGGGGCCGGCGAGCATCCACCTACAATGCTGACATACCATATGGGCACCAGCTCCAGTCCTGGCTGTTCCACTTCCAATCCAGCTCCCTACTCATGTGCCTGGGAAAAGCAGCAGCAGATTGCCCAAGTGCTTGGGCCCCAGACCAGCATGAAGCTCCTGGCTCCAGGCTGCTGGGTTTGGCCTGGCCCAGCCCTGACCACTGCAGCCATCTCGGGAGTGAACCAGTGGATGGAAGACCCTCTCTTTCTTGCCCCTTCTATTTTTCAAACTCTATCCTTTCAAATAAACAGAAAAAATATTTATTAAAAAAAAAGAGGTAACCTAACAATCTGCATAATGTTTTTCAGGCTGTAACACTTCCCTCAGATTATATGGCTATCGGTTGACATATTAGCTATGAACCTATACTAGTATTCGAGTTTATTCATCAGTCTTTCTTAAGTAAAGTGCCTCCAGGAATCTATCACCAAGCAACCCCGCTCCCCGCAGCACCAACTGGCCTTCCATCTGGAGGCAGAGGAGAAATTTGGCTCTCATTTGCACCTGCGGTTTCCTTCGCTCACCTCCACTATACAACGCTCGTGACTCCTCTGATCCACTTGTGGAACATTTACAGCTAAAAAGAATGTGTTCTATTCATAGCCCATATTCTTCTGTCTGATGTCTGAAGTAAATATTTGTCAAATCAAATATTCAGATAACATTCAAAATAAACCACAATCCAGTTCTGCTCAAGAGATAAAGTCACTTGAAAGTTTTTCATCTGCCCATTTTTCTGCATTTCTCCATGTTCTACCCACCTAAGTCAAAGATAAAGAATTTGGAGCATATGTCTCAGTTCCCTGCCGTGAGTTGCAGGACAGCGCTCTCCTAGGAAATGGACAGAAGTCAACAGCTGTTTCCCTGATGCGCAAAGCTGCCATTAAAGGAAGCTAACATTTCATGCACCGTCATATAGTGGAAGATACGTGTACTAATTTCCTGTTTAGGTTTAAATAGTCTTCACTGTTGAAGGTTTACTATGTGTTTGTCAAACAGTTTTAAAAAAACTGGTTTTTTTTAGCTCTTGGGAAAATCAGTCCTCACTTATAGTAATCTCTGTATCCCAGGTATTTAGTAATATCTATTGCCTCTGCTACTTTTAGAAAATGGTAACACCTGATCTTTAGAATCATATGTGCTAGACCTGCGGCTAGTGCATAGTTCTTCAACATTCACAAGTATGAAGTATATACAATGATTACTCCCTTTTGACATTTCAGGAAACTGTGGCCTGGGGAAGAGAGATGCCTTGTCCAAGGGCCCCACAGTTGGTATGGACCAAATAGGTATTACTGCCTTATTAACCAGTCTCCTTTGATTTTGTCCCCAATTCTCCTATTTTCCATAATGTTTTACAAATATACCTCTTTCGAAAATTTCTTTAAGGAGAAAGGCATTGCTTTTAAATGTATGTATCAATTTGCGGTCAGTCCTGTCGGTTGTGTTTGTTTTTTAAAATATGGAATGCTTCATGAATGTGTGTGTCATCCTTGTGCAGGGGCCATGCTAATCTCTGTTTTGTTCTAAATTTAGCACATGTGCTACCACAGCAAGCACTGGAGGTTTTTTTTTTTTTAATCCTTTCTATGCTACCTAAAAATTCATTTCTCAAATACATCCTCATTTATATTTGTATTTTGGGGGAAGTCGTGTTTGCTATGATGTACCATTATTTTAAGTTACAATACACACCATCCGTCATTCTCTTCTTGAGGTTCCGGAGGTAAGAGTATGTGATTTAAAGATACACATCTCATGGCTGCTCCCCGGAATAATCATGCCCACAGCTGCAGCACCCTAGCAACTGAGAGAAAAGTAGCTGCGTGCTCCAGACAGCATTCTCAAAGCAGGAGAGCGAAGAAGGAGCTGAGCTCCAGGCCTTTTGCTGAGAGCCACTTGTTCTGGGGAATGAGGCCTTGGCTCGCTGATGGGAGTTCGTATCTGGCATCCCAGCTCCTGGGGTTTCAGATGACAGCGTGACAGAGTGCTAACCCAACTTTCTAAGTCTGCCACTCTAAATTTACTCCGCGCAGAGGGAAGAGTTACGAATGCAGCTTCTGTCGCCCACCCTTCCTAGTTCTCTACCAGTCAAGCCATATGTGCATCTGCACCACCAATAATTCCGAACATTAATGAAACTGTCTCCTCCATCCAAAGGTTTTAAGAAACTGCACTAGGTTGTAGTGTATCTGGTATGTGATAACAGGTACCCTAGCCTCAAAATGCATACAGATAGAAACACGTTCTAGTTTATTGATTTGCATATGTGTATCCTATATATACATACTATACACACACACATGTATATATCTTTTCTGCTGTAGAGGAGGCACAGAGCGAGGTGGTTAATTTTATCCAAGTGCATAATCAGTTTATGCATGTTCTTCTTTTTCTGTTGCAACCTCTGTCACTGCTTTTCATGACTTGATATCTAAGATTGAATTTCTGCTCTCGCTATGTTTAGAATCTATTTTTAACTTGGCCAACTGACTTACTACGGAACCATGTGAGTGGTGCTATTTTAAAATATATAATAGTTGTCCCTATGTCCCACTAACAACCCCATAGATAACCACGGTGTGCCTGTCACACTCCACTGCACGTGTGCCAGGATAGAAGACAAGGATTTTTAAAAAAATAAACAAATATTGAGGCCCTAGTGTATGTCAGGCAACAGGCTGTGGCTTACCCGAGTTTTCTCAGTTAATCTTCAAAAAACCTTCTGTGTTAGTACAGACTTCTTGCCTTACCAAGCACATTGTGATTCTTCATATAATTATAAGGGTTTGTACTGAGTGCAGAGATCATGGGTATTCATGCCAGCCGGTCCTGAGCTCAGATTTGAGCTTTGCTACTTGTTGGCCATACGAACTCCAGCAAGTTACCTGAGCTCCTTGAGTCTCAAGCCTTTTCATTTGTAAGCCGAGAACAGCTATACTTCCTCGCAGATTGTTAGGAAGAAATATCGAGTTGATGTAGCATATCAAGCAGTCTAGCAAGAGGTGCTTACTGTTATTCTGTATTATTCAGAGTTTCCGCCCGTCCTGGAAAAGAAAAGATGGCAAAGGCTTTGGAAGACACACGTTAGTTAAAGGATCAGCCCAGTGCTCCCACAGCTCCGAAGTGGGCAGCTTCAATTTGCAAAACTGGAAGTTAGTTGCTGCAATAACCCAGCGGGCATTTGAACAACTGCCAGGCCTTCCGAATGGAGCCTTCTGCCCTTGGGAATCCTCACATAGCTGCTGAAGCCTCGTGAGTAAGCCCTGGTAACTGTTTAAAACATATTAGCTTTGAGCCAGGTTTGTCACTGCCTGCTTGATCAACACCGCTTATGAAGAGCTGTCTCTGCATCTGCCTGCAGGGGAAATCTTTGGTTCTCACATCGACATCCAGCTGTGTCTGGGTTGAAACTATTTGTGATGGTTTCAGAATCCCTGCAGTGTCTTCTCAAAGACAGCCTGATGCTCTCTGGAGCAAGGGCGCATGGAACTTTGCTGGATGATCTGAGGTTACACCTTGTGACTTCACCTTTCCCCGAATGCCAACAGGCGTAATACGTACGGTCCACCTGCTCCAGCTCAACTCGCTCTTCATCCATGGGTTTCTGCACCATCTTCCAGGGGACCATCCCATTAGGAGGCATGGAATAACTCCTGGCTAAGAGTTGGGAAACACTGGCCTCTGAGGCTGGTGAGGAAGGAGGACGAGGTCTTCCATTTACCACGTTCCTGCTGTCATCATCAAGGCAGGTAACATCATTGTACCCACCAGGTCAGTTGGGGGAGGGTTTGTCCAGCCTTCCATGTTTGCTTAGTATTGAACCTCATGGAGTTTTAAAGTGAATTGTTTTGTTTGACTATTCCAAGACACAAATCATTTTCTTCTGGTTATCTGAACAAACTGAAAAAAATATTGTGAGTCAGTTTCCACTGAGTGTCTGATAATCCATGCCTTCTACTATACATTAGACTTTCAAGAAATGCTTCCAGAAGGTAACCCGGGTTTCTGGTTCTGGCACTTGCAGGTCCATGTGGACTTCCTCGGGCAGCAATTGTAGCTTCAGGTATTCATTTGCTCCAGCTTTCATTTTTCTCGAGTTTTTCAAATCACTTAATACAACCTCTGCCATAGCGTCTGCTTCACAGCAGTTTCTGGGATAATGAAAATTGCAACAATGCTATCTAACGCCTCACTACTTACACACTTTCTAAATAGATATTTGCATGAAATTTCACGAACTGAAGTATTTTTACTTGTGTCATAAAACAAAAGGATCTAAGAAGGCCTTAGTTCATGTTTTTAATCTCTCTTGTGTACAATCTTATTGGACAACTCTGTTTTTGTCTTAAATAGATATTTGGGGTGTAGGTAAGTTGTTGACTATTCATATGAATGATTCTGTCAGCAAAAATCAAATATACAAACAAGTTAGTTAGTTGCCCAAAATACTTTGAAAAAAATAGATTTGATGTTTTGATATCTAAATCAAGCATACTATCCTGTTCCTTGCATTTTAAAATACAACATTTATAGTTAACCTTAAACATGTTAAAATATGTTTAACATTGTGATAGTCTCAGGAAAGTTTTTGCAGTAGATTAGTATTTTTGTAGAAACAAGTTAGTCTTCATTTGAATGCCTGGCAGGCAGAGTTTAGAAGTTATTATCAAGTGAATATAGTTTAATGTAGTTCATCGAACTGGTTTAACTCATAGATACTACCAGACTTGAATGAGACTTTTCAGGGAATTTAGTTTAGCTCCTTTGTATTCAAGGCTTTGAGTTTTATTTAAAAAAAAAAAAAAAGAAGAAGAAGAAGCTCTCCGTGAAAAGGAGAGAGTTATTTAAAATCCTTTTTCTACTACTTAAAAAGGATTAGCTATGTTTTGAATCAGTAATATATGCACATGGCACAAAATCCAAAAGGTACAAAGACTGTAGTGAAAAAGATAGTCTCCCCCCACTCCTCATCCTCTTCCCGCCTAATAGTCTTCTCCAGATTCAGTTATCGGCTTTGTGTTTCTGTCTACTTTGTAAAAAAGCGGATGCAAATATTTAAATTCTTTGATTAGTATTTTGTTACATTCTTTTTAGAATAACCAGAGAACTGGCATAACATATAATCCTTCCAGAATCCTATGCAAAGTTCTTATTTCACTTATGAAACAGAGAAAATAAAAGTTGCTTATTTTCTCTGAAACCTGAGAAAATCTTCCATCGCTTATTAATATGATAATAATTATAAAATAAACTCTGTAACAGATTATGAAGGCAATAACTAAAATGATCGTATCGTGTATTTGAATGAAGTAGAAAACTAGTTTGCATTGAAGTTCAAGATAATAATAAAATATTTTTAATTGTTTGGTAATCAATTGGAGGAATATTATTTCTCTGATTTGAAAATTTCTGAACTAAAGCTTTTCATGAATTTATGTCAGGTTTTTAAAAAAATCTAATTATTCCTAACTAGAAATCCTACTTTCCCTAATAAGTTTTTCAATTACGTCTACTCCTCCTAACAACCCTGGTTACCCTCCCGGAGATGAGGAACTGAGGCTGAGGCTTGACATCACTCGCCACAGGTGCACAGCAGTAAGGCAAGGCTGGCACACGCCTCAGCCTCCAGTGCACCCCGACATGGCCCACACTGGCGCTGGAAATGCAGAATCCACTCGTTTAGAAAGAGGTAGAATGCTTGACAGTAGGGAATCTCACTTCACCAAGGCACGGCCTCAAGGCTGCAGACACACTCCTAAGCAAAACAGAGCCAGGGAAGCTAGGTGAAAAGGGTTTTGGGTGAAATGATAATGGATAAAACAGCCATATTCTCGAAAGTGTTGATTAGCCGCCCATGTATCCCTTGGGGTAAGGTCAGTAAGGTCCATAGGGATCTGTCTTTGGAACTTTTTTTTTAAGGTTTATTTATTTGAAAGGCAGAGTTACAAAGAGGGAGTAAGAGATCTTCCATCTGCTGGTTCACTCCCTAAATGTCCACAATGCCCAGGACTAGGCCAGGCCGACGCCAGGCCGACGCCAGGAGCTTCACTGTGGTCTCCCATCTGGGTGCAGGCTCCCAAGTACTTGGGCCATCTTCTTCTGCTTTCCAGCCAGCACCCATATGGGATGCTTAACTCACTTACCTAAATGTTGGCCCCTCTTGGACCTATCTGGATCAACATTGTATTAATGCTTGGGACCACAGCAATGATCGAATGTGGTGGAACTTACAAGAGTACTTTGAAAAGTCTGCAGAAAATTGAATTAAAAGGCAAGTTTATTTTGGGGTAAAAATTTTTGAAATCTATGCATAGCTTTTTTTCACAATACATATTTTTCAAGAACTTTTTGAGGACTCCTTATATAAATATCTATTGAATAAATGAATGAATGAATGAATGAATAAGGGTATTTGCATTGTGCTGATCATCTCTTTAGCAGTTACAGTTTCAAGTCATAATAATTATGTTAAACAACAAATTTAAGATTGCAAAACCAAAATACATAAATATGATAGCTCAAGGCTAAAACAATGAAATTTAACAAGGAATAATGTTAAATACCAAACATGGGCTTCCATAATCAATCGTACAGTGAGACGATACGAGCATTAGGGCCTCTAGTGTGGAGGGAAAGCAAAAAGGGGACGTAGAGACAGAAAGAGAAAGAGAGCCAGTTTTGTACTTCTGTGGATAAGAACTTCAAAATGAGGCCGGCGCCGCAGCTCATTAGGCTAATCCTCCACCTGCAGCACCGGCACACCGGGTTCTAGTCCTGGTCAGGGCGCCGGATTCTGTCCCGGTCGCTCCTCTTCCTGTACAGCTCTCTGCTGTGGCCGGGGAAGGCAGTGGAGGATGGCCCAAGTGCTTGGGCCCTGCACCTGCATGGGAGACCAGGATAAGCACCTGGCTCCTGGCTTCAGATCAGCGCTGTGTGCTGGCCGCAGCGCGCCGGCCGCAGCAGCCATTGGAGGGTGAACCAACGGTAAAGGAAGACCTTTCTCTCTGTTTCTCTCTCTCTCACTGTCCACTGTGCCTGTCAAAAAATAAAAATAAAAAAAAATTTAAAAATGAGGCCAATATGTGATACAGCTACTGAATACAACAGACAATTGGGGAACAAAGCAAGGTAGGCTAGTCCTCATATTTGCTCTGTAATTGTCAGAAGCCATTTGTAATATGTTTCCAACTCTGGGTCCCTTGGGTCAACAGGGACAATAAAGACACAGGGAGAATCCATAAGGGGGCCTGCATGGAGGCTTAAGCTGCCCCTTGCAATGCTGGCATCTCATAAGGGGAACCAGTTTGTGAAACCTGGCTGCTCCACTTCCAATCCAGCTCCCTGCTAATGCGCCTGGGAAAAGCAAAGGAAGATGGCCCAAGTGCTTGGGCCCCTGCACCCACATGGGAGACCCAGAAGAAGCTCTGTTGGGGCCATTTGGGGAGTGAACCAGTGGATGGAAAATCTCTCTCTCTCTTTCTCTCTCTCTCTCTCCCCGTAACTCTGCCTTTCAAATAAACAAAAATAAATATAAAAAAAATAAGAGAGAACCCACAAGATGGTGACCAAGGTGATGAGTGAAGTTAAATCTGTGATACACGAAGAATAATTGATGAACCTAGGGATCTTAGCCCAAAAAGACTAATTTGGAGAAGCATGATAGCTATCTCTTAAAAGTGGAATGGTGTCTGGTAAAAAAAATTACATTTACAGGAGGGTACAGGGTTTGAAAAATTCTCAGAGGTTATCTCACCCACCTGTCCAACTGCAGCTTGAATCACTACTGCTAGCTTTTACGTATGACTGTGTCTCAATGAGAACATAAGCTGGGGTTGTTGGCTTGGAACCTAGACATGTGGTTCCCAAACTGAAGACACAGGAACAGCAGCATCAGCATTACCTGGGATGTTGTTAGAAATGCAAAACTCCTCACCCAACCCAGATTACGGGATCACAGACTGCCAGGGTGCGGCCTCACGGTCGGTACTCTACCAGGTCCTCTTTGTGATTCTGACACAGGCTAAAAGGTGACAACCATTACAGATCATGAGATATAGGTGTTTAGCCTACAACTTTTTTTTTTTTTTTTTTTTTTTGACAGGCAGAGTGGACAGTGAGAGAGAGAGACAGAGAGAAAGGTCTTCCTTTGCCGTTGGTTCACCCTCAATGGTCGCCGCGGCCGCGCGCTGCGGCTGGCGCACGGGCTGATCCGATGGCAGGGAGCCAGGAGCAGGGCTTTTCCTGTCTCCCATGGGGTGCAGGGCCCAAGCACCTGGGCCATCCTCCACTGCACTCCCTGGCCACAGCAGAGGGCTGGCCTGGAAGAGGGGCAACCGGGACAGAATCCGGCACCCCGACCGGGACTAGAACCCGGTGTGCCGGCGCCGCTAGGCGGAGGATTAGCCTAGTGAGCCACGGCGCCGGCCAGCCTACAACTTTTTCTAAAGTCTATTTTTATTTATTTGAAAGGCAGAGCAACAGAGACAGAGACAGATAGACCTTCCATCTGCTGCTCCACTCCTCAAATGCCCAGAGCAGCCAGGCCTGCGTCAGGCCAAAGCCAGGAGCCTGGAATTCAATCCAGGTCTCCCATATTGGTGGCAGGGACCAAGTTCTCGAGACATCACTGCTGTCTCCTGGAGTGCACATCAGCAGGAAGCTGGATCGGAACAACCGGGTAACCAGGACTCAAGTCAGGTACTTCAATATGGGGTGCAGGCATCCCAAGTATGGACTTAACTGCTGTGCCCTATGCCCAACCCGGTTCTCAGCTTACTAGCTCTGCTTAGGACAATGACAGAAATAGGTAATCCGTTAGCAAGGAGTAGGAAGAAACATCGAAGCTAGTGGCTAGAGCCTAGGGACATTTTCTTGTCTATCGTAACATCTTTGGAAATCTTTGGAATCAAATGCTTGATAAAATCAAACGCTTCCTCGAATGACCCAACATTGCTTGTATTTTTAGGAAGTTCTAGCAGCTTATCAATGGCTATACCACTATTCTTGCCAAAGAAACTGCCACTGCATCTAATCAAGCTTCTGGAGCAGCTTTCATTTACAGGA